CCTTCGAAAGTCTTATCCAGTTAGCCTCTTACGGTTTTGTTTTGCCAAACCCAAAACCAAAAGCCTTCAGTAGCGATACACCGGCACCACCCTTCGCAGAATCCGAGCAAACACCCGCCGACAATAAAAGCTGCAGCGGCAGCTGACGACTAAAGCTTCATGTGGCTGCCGGCGAACACTATAAAACCAAAAGCTTTCACTCTTTCTCAACCGCATCTTAAAAGGAACGGCTCTGGCGACTATGTTCAGTTCTTCACTGCAGCTGTCGACAAAAACTGTGATTTTTCAGGTAACTAAGTGAGCCGGCGACCACTGTTCAGTTCTGAACCATTAACTTGTTTAAGCCTTCTGTTCCTCATTTTGTTTTACCTCTTATCTTCATTGTATTAAGCAAAAAGTGAAAAAACAAGCAGCTCATACTTTTTTTATTGGAATTTTCTTTTTGTAAAGCTACAGAAAGTTATATCTAAGAATGAGTATAGGACCGGTTCAGATTTGGTTATCCTTGTACAGATCTTCGTTGTACAGGGCTTTATACTTTTTTAATATTTTTAATGAAATAGAAAAAAAAAAGCATTGGATGCTAGGTGGTGGAAGGTATGTTCAGCTGGTAAATTTTATCTAATGGCTTTGTAATTTTCTGTATTTTTTGGAATTTATAACATTTATGCATGCATATTTATAACATTTATGCATGCATATATCGATGTGCACAATAAATGCGGGTGGTGGCATTTCTTGATTTGTTGTTGTGGTAGTTGGTTTTATTATGAAAAATACCGTAAGATATTTGTAAATACTCCCCTAAGTAACCTCATAAATATACTATGATGTTATAATAGAGGCTTGTGAAACTTGTGAGTCTAATTGAAGAAATTAACTTTCGAATCAAGACAAATTTAAGCCCATATTTCTAGCTGAGATTGAGTCCGAATTCGAGTTTCATATTATTTTGTTGAGTTAAGCTTCAATAATCAAATATTTGATTTGACTCAAATGCACCCTTTAATAATATGTATAATCAAATACAACTTCTAACATCCAAATCCGGGGTAATTGGAATCGGAGTAAAATTGAGTACTGAACTTGTTGATATCCCTAAGAAGTAGTGAAAAATAATTTAACCATGGATATGAAATCCTGCAAGTCAATAACTATACAAACACACCGTTGTAAGTTCAATATTTAGCATGTACCAACAAAACATCAATCAATATTTTGGTGACTTATTTTAAGTGGAAGAACACCTCTTTATCATTGTTGAATGGTTAAAGATTAGATGATATATATGAATTGCCCCAAGACAATTACAAATGTTATATGTTGAAGCACTAAAAATATTATTATCTATTTACCAAATCTAGTAGGGAATTATTTAGTAATAATTAAAGTGGTTGAACTAAAAAGCTTATTGGTTTATTTTTCTAACGAATAAGATTTTAATGAGGTTCTAAGCTCCCTTAAAAAATGAAGTTGAAGTGGGATCAATTATCATACCCTTAAATATTTTATTATTTAATTATATTATCCACTAAAAGATAGAGCAATAAGTTATTTAGGCTGTGTTTGGTTTGAAAGAATAGATAGGGAAAGGAAGGGAAAGATAGGAAAACTTGTACAAGTTCCCTACCTTTTGCTTCAAACCAAACACAGCCTTAGTTCATCAACTTTAATTGGTATTAAATGATCCCTAGTTGGCATCATGGAAATGTATGTCAATAATTCTTCATTTTTTTGTTAATAAATATAGGAAATTGGTAATGCACTAATTAAAAGAATAAACAAAACTGTTGGTGCTTGGACTGGCCGAGGACAACAAAGTAATTCGCCCCAAGGCTCCGAAGGCTGGTCAAAGGTTTCGAGGGTTCGGAGAGGTTGCTGCGAAGGCCGAGGCAGAAAGGGCTCCGAGTACTGTAGAAGCCGAAGGTGGATGGCTGAGTTGCTACAAGACAGAATACGTCAGAGGCCCTAGGTGAGAACCCAAGGCAAAGTCTCCAACGGTCAAGTTAGTAGAAGGTACGAAGAGGGGAACCAGAATATAGTTTTTGAGACCAGTTCCAAATTCAGACTGTATCAAATCGTATCAGATGAAGCCCCCTTACCTAGAGGGGGGCACCCTTATTTATACTTGAGCTGCCTGGAGGTAGGTGGAGATGAAAGCCTGAGATGGGAGCCGTATAGAAGCGTATAGTGGGTTTGGCAGGATCATATGAATGCTCTGCAATTGGCTCCGTACGAGGGGAGCAGGGTAACTCCTACTATAGTGGATCTCGTTCCCAGATTTGGTGCTCGTGGGCTGGGCCTCCCAGCCTCGAATGGGCTGGGTTGGGTCACCCCACATCACTCTCCCCACTCCCGAGGTTGAGGAGAAAAGTTCAGCTTCGGCTAATGGGAGTAGTAATGGTGAGCTCTAGTGAGCCCGACAACCGAGGTGTACCCTGCAAAGGCGTCCTCTTTCACGTCTCTGCTTGGTTCTTCTTCGTAAGTTGGGCCGAGACTGCAAGTGGTCTATGGCACTGCTGCTTCGGACAGGTCACCCGGGAGGCGCGCTCAATGCGGGTGCTTAGGTGTCATCGTTTGGGCCGAGGACCTTTGAAACCGAAGGCTGTTTAGGTCGAGGACCTGTGAAGCCGAAGGTTGTTTAGGCTGAGGACCTGTGAAGCCAAGGGGCTCGTGAAGCCCGAGGATCCATGCACGGGACGGCTTTCCAGTTGAACCGGTGTGTGTGCTCACTGGAATGGGTCGCTCAGACCAGTGGGTCACTTTGGGTGGGCGCGCTAGCTCGTCTTCAGCATCCTTTCGTCTTCCAAGGGTGAGCGCTCAAGGGTGCGGCACGACTGGACCGCAGGTGTGGAGGTGCTTCTCGTCCGTTAGATCTGAGATGATCCAAACCGTTACCAGCATGTCATTTCGCCTTCCGAGGTTGAGCATTACGTGGTGCACCATGATTGGGTCGTGGAGGTGGTTTCTCAGCCATTGGATCTCAAGAAATCTAGGTCGTATGTTCTTCTTTAAACAAGGGCTTCGACAGCAGAATTCTTGTCATTTTGCCTCCAAGTGCTTTGGCCTTCGAATGAATTCAGCTCCCAGATTCTCCAGTCTTTGACACTCCACCTTCACTTCTTTTTCTTTCACTCCCTTTTTGGATAATTTCCAATGATGTCTTCCTCATATTTTGGACCTGAGTGCTATGAACTCCCGAATGTATTGGAGGGGAGCTCCATTCGAACCCCTTCTCCCCTTTCCCCTCTAAGCCCTTCTGTTTCTGTTCCCCTTCGGTGCGAGGTGGAGGTGCTCTAGGAGAGGGTAGCCTCCGGGGGAGCCGAAGGCATCCGTCGAGGCAATGACCCTCCTTGTAAGAGGATCGCATTTGTTACGCCGAGGGAGGCCGAGGGTCCCCCCAAGCCGAGGGGGAGCGGGACCCGGTCCTCGTCCCCGAGACAAGGGTTGAGTGTGTTACCGGGGTGGCGGCCGAGACTGATCCTTCTCGCCCAGAGTTCAAAGGTTCTCTGAATTGGGATCAAGTCAAGACCCTGATGAGGCAGTACTTCATCCCTTCATTCTATGGAGTGAGGGCGCTCGAGGCGGGTGATCGGCCGTGGACTCCCAAGGAGGGGGTGATCTCCATTTATCAGCACTTCCTCCAATTCGGTCTTCAGTTCCTCCTTCAACCTTTGATCTCTAACCTGTTAAGGGTGTATGGGATTACCCTTAGCCAATTTGCGCCCAATGCGATAAGAACCATTGTGGCGATGCTAGTGGCGGCCTGGATCCAAGGGGTGGAGCTGACGCCGAAGCTCTTCCGAGCGGTCTTCGCGTTGAGGAAGCACACTTCCGAAGCCGGTGTCTTCTACTTCCAACCCCGCAAGTCCAAGCCCGTAGATAACCCCTCTTCCATGCACAACTGGATGAGTAAATACTTCTTTTTGTTTTGTCCTAAGGGTTGGTCCTTCAAGTCGGGGTGGGGAGAAGCTAGCTTATCTATAGAGAAAAGTGTCCCCTTGCTTACGAGTGAGGAGAGTGATGATCTCGCATGGCTGCTCAACCTAGGGAGAGTTTAAGCCGAGCCCTTGGTGGAAGAGGAGGTCCCATTGGTTTTCACGGGACTCAGCCCTGCCCCCCTCGATAGGATAGGCCATGCAATCCCTTTCCACGTTTTCCTTGTCTTCATCTTTGTGTAGTGGTACTAACTGCTATTTTGTTCACAAAGGTGCCGATGGACGCTCGGAAGGCTCTACTTGACCGTGCCTGCGTGATACAGAAGGAGCAAGTGAAGGCTAGTAGACAGATGCCTCAGAGGTCTGCTGAGGGCACGCCAGCCTAGAAGGAGAAGGCGTCGGCCCCTACGAAGGGGGAGTCTTCTCGTCAGGTCCCTGCCAAGGGGACGAAAGCACATGTCCCCCTGCCAAAGGGACTCCTTCAATAGCTCCCCCAAAGGGAGCCACTCCATAGATCCCCGCGAAGGGGAAGGGGCCCGTCGAGGAGGGCCAGCCGAGGCGCAAGGAGCAAGCGCCACAGCAGCCAGTCGAGGTGTCAAGGAGACCTGCTGACGAGGCCGAGGCAAGGAGGAAGAGACCGACCAAGGGGGTCGTACAGGGTCAACCATAGTAGAAGGTGGCTCGCATCGAGAGATCCGCTTGTAACTCCCTAAGGAGGCCCTACAAGGAGCGAATGGGACCGTTTTCTGCTCCCCCACGCTGCTAGAGGAGCTCGCCCAGTGGTCCAATCAAATCTTCCGCCCTGAGTGGGAGGTCCGCGAGGGGGACTCCATCCATAACGCGGGAGTTGGCCCTGCATTGGTGAGTGGGGCTCTTCTGGCACGAGACCGCTTCCAGATGCTGGGGATGGCCCCTGATAAGATGTACGATCGGCTGAAGTTGACCCTAGCCCACAAGGATAAGTTGGAGGATGAGAAAGACAAGCTTCAGTAAGTCACCACAAACACCATGGAGAAGCGTCGTTAGTTGTAGCGATACTTCGGCGACGAACAAAAGTTTCGCATGGAGGCGAAAGAGAAGTTGAAGCAGACGCAGGATCTCCTCTCCAAAGAGCAAATGGAGAGGGCTCGTGTAGAGAGCCTCATTTCTAAGGCCGAACGGCATCTCCAACAGGCCAAGGTAGACATCGCTGAGGCAAATAAGCGGGTGGCCGAGGTAGAGAAGAGGGCCAAAGAGGCAGCTAAAAGGGCTGCGGAGGCCGAACATAAGGCAACCAATGCTGAGAAGAGGGCCCAAGAGGTGGGGAAACGATCCGATGAGTTGGCCGATCTCACTTCTGGGGCTTACTTGGATGGAATTGATGACACCAAGAAGTTACTTGTGGTGGTGCTTCTAGACTTTGATGTCGAATCTTTAAAGGTGATCCCTAACTCTCTCGAAGAGGCTGCTGATTCTACACTTCCTCCTTCGACTGGTGGGAGGCTTAGGCCAGGCTTTTTCTCTTTTCTCTTTTTTCTTTCTCTTTTTTTTTTTGATTTTTGACATTGTACATATGTTCGGCCTGAGGGGCCGTGAAACAATTTTGTAAAGCCAAAAATTTTTGTATATAATGAAAATCAGTGGCATTTTTTATCTTTGCCTCAAATGTTGCACTTGTGCTTTGTCGTGTTGTTTCTCCTTGTGTTTTTTGCACTGCTTTTGCACTTATGCTTTTGTTGTTGAAGGGTCCTTGCCCCTCCAAGAGAAAAATCACAGCATGAGATAAGTGTAGTTCTCTTCAGTTTACTTTACTTTGCACGTCAGAAGCATGGTAGAGGGGTGGCCGAGGCGAAGCCTCCGCGGCTAAGCCAGGGCTTGCTTGGCCTAACGCCCTTCTAAGTGTTCATTTAGGCAAGGTCGAAGAGGCATGTGATGGGGGGAAGCCGAAGCAGAGCATGAGGCTCACCTAGCTCTCTTCCCCTTATACTTTAAATAGCAAGATGACATATTGACATGAGAGTGAGGCCGAGGCTGAGCTGAGGCTCGCCTATCTCCCAATCTTTTTAAGTGTTAGCTTCGGCGAGGCCAAAGTGGCCTACCATATTGAGGGGTGTCTGAGACAGAGTTGAGGCCCGTCTGGCTCCGTGGGGCGTAGGTAGAGCCGAGGCTCGCCTGGCTCCCGTATCCCCATGCATTAGCTTCGGCAAGGTCAAGGCGGCCTACCCTATTTGGGGGTGGTCGAGATAGAGCTGAGGCTCGTCTAGCTCCATGGGGCCTAGGTAGAGCCAAAGCTCGCCTGGCTCTAGTATCCCCACATACTTGTTTTGACGAGGTCGAGTGCAATGCTCTGAGGAGGCTGGCTTCCTTTGATGATAACACTAAGTGTGAAAGTTCAGGAGGCTAGCCACCGCCAAGGTGGGGCATTGAGGCACATGGGGCCTTGTCTGTCCTGGTGTATTCTGACGCATTAAGTCTTTAGCTAGGGTGTTTGCTACTTATTCATTAAATCTTAGCGTCAGTCCAACGAGGGGGTATGGTCCTCGAAGGAGGCCATGCGCCCCTGCCAGTCGTGAGGCCGAAGAGTTGTAAGAATTTAGTAGGTACACACACTGAACATTGAGCCGAAGAGGAACTTTGCTTCATTCATCCAATAGTTTCAAAAAGATATTACAATCACTTGTAGTACATTCGGAGGATCTTCGAGTTCCACGTCCGAGGTACAGGTCTTCCATCTAGGTGTTCCAGGTGAAAAGTGTTGGGGGCGATGACTCGCTTGATTCTATAGAAGCCTTCCAAGTTGGGGCCTAGCTTCCCTACTCTAGGTTTGTGAACCATGACTTTTCTGAGGACAAAGGTCTCCTTCTTGAAAGTGTCTTTTTTTTACCCTGGAGTTGTAGTAGTGGGTCACTCGTTGCTGGTAAGCGGCAACCCTTATCTGTGCTTGCTCTCGGGCTTCTTCCAACATATCTAAGTTTGCTCTGAGGGCTTCATCATTCTTGGCTTCATTATATGCCTCAACTCGGAGTGTCAGTTGGTCGATCTCTGTTGGGATTACTGTTTTTGTGCCGTAGGTTAAGTCGAAGGGAGTTTCTCCCGTGATTGTCTGAGGCATAGTTTGGTAAGCCCAGAGTACACTATTCAGTTCATCTAGTATTGTCCTGTTGGTGACCTCGGCTAGGCCGTTGGTTTGAGGATAGCCTACTAAGTTGTACTGTTGCCTGATGCTGAGGGAGGCGCCCCACTCCTGGAACTTGGCGTCATCAAATTACTTCCCGTTGTCGATGACTAGGATGTAGGGTAGGCCGAAGCGGCAGATGATGTTTTTCCAAAAGAAATTTTGGATGGCTCGCAATGTGATGGCGGCCAAAGGCTCGGCTTCCACTCACTTGGTGAAGTAGTCTACTACAACAATGAGGTACTTTCTTCCCCCCCCCCCCCCATGGCTTGAGGAAAGGGGCCAAGGAGGTCCATGCCCCATTTGGTGAAGGGCCATGGGCTACTGAGGGCTAAGAGAGTGGTGGCCGGTTGGTGGCATAAGTTGGCGTGCCTTTGACATGGGTCACACTTTTGCACCAATCTAGTTGTCCTTGTGGTGGGTAGGCCAAAAGTAGCCCTACCTTAGGGCTTTTTGGGCTAAGGCTCTCCTACCGAGGTGATTACCGCAAATGCCTTCGTGAACTTATCGTAGCACATAGTTGCCCTCCTCCGAACGAAGGCATCGGAGGTAAGGTAAGGTGAAGGATTTTCGGTACAGTTTCCCTTCCAGCAGAGTGTAGTGGGCTGCCTGTCGTCTGAGTCGCTTTGCCTCATTTATGTCTTCGGGAAACCGTCCAGTTGATAGGAAGTTGACAATGGGATCCATCCATGAAGGTTCGGCCTCTATGGGGAGTAGTTGGACTTCTTCAATGGAGGGCCGAAGTAGCTTCTCGATGTGTATGGCCCGGCCGGAAGTTCTGCTCGAGGTACTTGCCAACTTGGAAAGGGCGTTGGCTCATGCATTCTTGACTTGTGGGACCCGTTCCAAGGAGAAGCATTGGAAGTGGCGGGCTAAATCTTGGACTTTGGTGAGGTACTTGGACATACTTTGTTCCCTGGCCTCGTACTCATCATTCTCCTGATTCAATATGAGACTCATGTTAGTTTAGAATCTTCATAGTCGTTTGATAGATCTATGGAGATTTATCCTACCAATGATGACACTAATGTACCGCCAAATTAGCTGGTGTGTCTTGTCTCAACTGCCAGGGTGAGACCTGAGGTACATGCAGTGTGGGTTTTCTTGAAACCCTAAACCGGACCAAATTCCAGTGTTGTCCTGGACCTTGGAGACAGATGGGCAAAAGTGGAATGTTACACCTAACCCCTAAACTCGATTATAATACTGCACTAGGTGTCGAATTGGGCTGTTTTTGATGTATCAATCAATGAGATCCTTAGAGGGGGTCAAAACCTGGGTATGTTAGGGCAGCCCGAGAATTCACCTGAGTGGGTGATCATAGTGACAGGATCAGCCCCTTTGTCGAACAAAGTGAATGATTGGGGAAATGCACTCTCCCTGATGGAAACCTAAATTGCTGGTAGTGGATTTCAAATGTGTTTGAAATTTGGTGTTGAAAAATATATTTATATAGAGATATACTTATATATTATGTTTTCACAAATTGTTTGCAAAAGGTTTTAATTCACAGGATCCATGTGAGTAGAGAGTGCAGCACTGTACCTTGCAGCCGAGGGAGAGGTTCTCTCTTGTCAGGCAGTGTTTGATCATTAAGGGCTGAGAGGTTAAGTGTAAGACCATTGAGAGTTATACCTGATGGGTTAATCTTGCATCTATCCACAGTTCATGGGCTTTCATAAGATGGTTGGACCCAAGGACCATTTAGTGTAAATGTTGGGCCCGTTAAGAGCCCATGGTGATGGATTCATGAGTTCACTGTATTCAACAGTGAATTCAACCAAGCCTTGTAATAGAGGCTAGACTGAACCCATGTAGCTGATGTGTAGATCAATGATAGGGTCCTACGCCATACAAAGAGAGCCAAGCTAGCCAACATTTAAAGGATGCTAGCTTGAAAGCTTAATGGGCCTAAAGCACATTTCGAACTGGGTTAATTGGATTAATTAAATAGGGGCAAATCTGGGTATGGATCAGTAGATAAGGTTAAGAGGATAACTCTTATCCACTTAAAAAATATAGATCCAAATAGAGATTTGGATTAGGAAACATCTAATTTGATTAGGAGTAGTTGATCTTGATCTGCAAATAAGATAAGGGATAAGCCTTATCACTTAAAGAGTTCAGATCCAAATAAAGATTTGGATCAAGAAACTCCTAATCAGATTAGGAGATCCTCTCTTTAAGGCTATATATAAAGAGTAGGGATGGATCTGAAAAATACACAACACAGAAGACAACTTAGTTTGATTGTTTCTGCCTTTAGTTCTTTCTCTCCCTGCTCTTGCCGCCCTACCTTGTTCGATCTCCATTTCTTGGAACTAATCAAGATTTGATCTTGATATTGTTTCTTGCTAGAAGAAACAATTCTGAAGCTGTGCTCACTACCCCATTCAATTCTTACTGAAGAATCAAAAGTTCTTAGTGAAGAACCACCTGTTGATCCTACATCGTCCTAAAATGTGTCATCTTTAGTGGAGGGAGGATTTGGTACACTCTTTGGGCGTGAACACCTACATTAGGAGGAGCTTATTGTGTGGATTCCGTATTATGTATATCCCTCCCTAATCTTGGTTTTAGATTTGGTCCGGCTTGGTTACAAGAACAAACCTTGAAAATGCAATTTTCTAAAATGGGAATACAATTCCTGGGTGGGAGTAAAGAAATTTTTGAAATTTTGCCCAACCTTACTGCAGTATTCGGCCATCCATATGATGGATCTCCCATCCCTTCAGGAGCTTGGGGACTTGTTAGCTTGTTAAAGTTCTTTTAGGGAATGTCTTACCAACGTTTCCCACAGAAGGTGACAATTGTTGGTGCTCGGATTGGCCGAGGACAACAAAGTAATTTCGCCCCTAGGCTCCATAGGCTTCGAGGGTTCAAAGAGATTGCTGCTGAGGCCGAGGTATGTAGGCCGAGGCAGAAAGAGCTTCGAGTACTATAAAAGCTGAAGGTGGATGGCCGAGGTGCTGCAAGACAGAATACGTCAGAGGCCCCAGGTGAGAACCTGAAGCAAAGTTTTCGACGACCAAGTTAGTACAGGGTACGAAGAGGGGAACCAACATATAGTTTTTAAGACCAATTCCAGATTCAGACTATTAGATCGTATCAGATGAAGCCCCCTTACCTGGAGGGGGGCACCCCTATTTATACTTGAGCTGCCTAAAGGTAGGTGGAGATGAACACCTGAGGTGGGAGCCGTACAGAAGCGTAGTGGGCTTGGTGGGATCATGTGAATGCTTTGCAATTGGCTCCGTACGAGAGGAGCAAGGTAACTCCTGCTGTAGTGGATCTCGTTTCCAGATCTAACGCTCGTGGGTTGGGCCTCCCAGCCTCGAATGGGCTGGGTTGGGTCACCCCACATCAAAAACAAAGCAAAAGTCATTAATTTTTTTAGTTTAAAATTAAAAGGCACACATTTTTTTGTTTGGCTTCATGGAGCTACACAAGGGGAATAGCCTATTCCCCATACCCATACCCCCCAACCCTGGTAGAAATGGGATTTGATCCCGTCTCCCCTACAACCAGCGAAAATTGTTTGAGAGTTACTACAACTTGAATCTATGGAGTTTGAAAGCATACTGACATTGTAACATACATAGGCTAATAGGCCTTAAATTGGGTTTGTTTCTCCTGTTTGATGAAACATCCAGACAAAAGAGAGATGGCCATCATATTAAGGACAAAATTTTACCATTTCTTGTTTCCCCTATGTTAAAATTTAAAATCAGCAATGCTCTTTCTGGGGTATCCGAGTCCTGTGATTGAGATCCCATTCATTCACAATTGATATCAACATACAACGAAAACCGACAGTACCATTCCTTTCTTTTTGTTCAAATGTCCATACTACCATCATATTACTTTGTTTTATTCCATTCTTCGATTCCATGTGGATAAGAATAACCCCATCCAATACAGACATCCAAACAACCTATATAATGCATAAAGCTAGGTATAAATGTCATTCCAGTTCAACAACTTCTCACAGAAAGTATTGGACCTTATCGGTGATATTATTTATACACCTACAAACTCTAATATCAGCAGCCAAATTAGACACATGTATGCATGACCCAAATTTAATGGAGCTGCTGTACAAGGCATCAAGATAATCGGTACACCGTTGATTACACTGTTCATGATATATTTGATGTGCCTTGTTACAACTCTGAATAATCTAACAGACCCTCTACAACAAAAAGAGAGAAACTGAACAGAACAGATCAAAGTAAGCTTTGGAAATTGTGCCCCACTGGTACTTTTCAAACGTGAAAGCTTACATGCTGGACACAATGTTCAAAGCATACCTACAACCCTGTGAATTCTCTTCACACCTCAAGCTGAAAGTCTCAAATTTGTTGTTGACTTCTAGAAAAATCATCAACTGAAATCAGCTCCTTTCAAGCACTCTGCAATTGCGTGATTAAGTTGGAGCATCTTTTCCCTCGCCATCTGCATGGAATAAAAGACAACAATTGCTGGCATCTTTTACTTTTTGTCGGAGTGGTAAAAGCTAATTGTATAGTTTGGGAATTATGGTACAGTTGACAATATGGTCTATGGTAGGGGTGTCAATTGGACTGGATTTGGTCCAGTCCAATCCAGTCCAATGTGAGTCCATTACAAATGGACTAGGTCCAGTCCAATCCAATGAATGTTTTGGACCATTTTGGACCAGTCTAATTCAATATTTGGACCATCCAATCTGTTCAAATTTGTTTTAATTTAGATTGGTTTCAACCCAAATCCGGTCCATTGACACCTATATTCTTATCTTATATTAACGGACCAGATATTGGCTTAATCCAACCCAATCCAATATAAATTTATTATGGACGGACCAGGTCCAATCCAATCTAATAAATATTTTGGACTGGATTGGTCCAATCCAATATGTCTTGTCGGTCCATCCAATCCGTCCAAATTGATTTTGGACTGGATGGGGTCCAGTCCAAAACCAGTCCATTGACACCCTTAGTCTAAGGTGAAAGGTCTATATACACATCAGGATCCGTGTTCATCAGGATTGAGATTTGGGAGATAATATCAGGCTGAATACCAATTTGTCCAGATGGAAAGATCAGTCTCCTACATTCTATTGGATGCATCAAAAGAACATTGAATGATCTGATAAAAACACAACAATCAGATGATTTTGGTGATTCGATAAGCCAGAATTTTGAAGTGAGACTGCCGCTATCCTCATTCTGGTCCAGTGTATTGTTGAGAATATATGCTTACATGCAATGTTACAATATCAATGGGCAGCATAACTATCAAAAGCAATTCATCTACAAGTCATCCCTGTTTGTGTTAATACCATACTTATGATGCCAAAAGTGGAAGATTCTCCATTAATAGCTAGGAAATAATCATTTACTTGCCTTGTGAACAGCTTTAATTCTTCCTTCAGCATCACTAAGCTGGGTTTTAATTGCTCCTTCAACTTGCAATAGAAGCTTCTGATGTGATGCTTCTGAATCAACAAACTGTATCAGTTATCAGCGATCCCTTAAATTAACAACAATATGTTTTTTTTGGTATTCAGTGCCATGCACCATTAATAGCTTGCCACTTGACCCCTTTTTCCCCAAAGTGCTGGTTGCAGGATTTGATTCCATGTCAACACTGGAACAAATCAGCTAACACACCAACGAGCCAGCCCTCGGTTGGTGCCAATAATGTCTTTGATCTGAATGTAAAGTGTATCAGCCCACTTGACTTACAAACATGGGGGTGAAATGGTAACATAATGGTGAATTTGGACCTCAAGAGGGCAAGAATTTGGACCTTCTAATGAGTCAATATGCGGCCCACAGTATGTCTATTTAGGAGTATTTTTCCTGGTCTTTATTTACAAGATTTTGTTGTGATTTGTATCATTTTAGGAAACCAGTTTTTGATGAGATATCAAAGGGATTTCTCATAAAGTCTATGTATAGTATTTTATACACAATAAATGAAGAATTTGGTTTCCTTTTTCGGAAAGTTGCTATGGTGTGATTCCATATTTCAATGATGGGATGCCATAGAGTTCTTTAGCCTAAGACTAGACAGATGCTAGCCCTTGTGCAAATTTAGAGGTGGCACAACCCAATTATCCTTTTTACTTTTATTTTTATTTTTGCAATTTTTGCTTATTCACTCATCATCATCATCTAAGCCTTATTCCAACTATATGGGGTTGGCTACATAAATCCTGTTTTGCCATGTTTTTCTTGTTTATTCACTATTTACACTAATCTCCTCAATTTCCTTTACCCCATTTTCTCTCAATCCTAAACCCTATTTCCACCCTTATGTTATTATACTCTTATTATCCCTACTCAGTCCAGACCTTTTATTACTTATCATTTTAAATCCTTCTCTCTCCGATCCTTTTCAAACCTTCTTTTTCTCACTTATGATGTCTGCAGCTCTCTTTATGTGGTTTTCTCATATAAATTATATTCTTTAATCCGTTGTTCATGGAGATGTCCCAAACAATCTGCAACTCACAAAAGAAGAATGCCCTAATGGAAAGAAACAGCTTAGTTAGTTCCCAAATTTAGTGGTCAAAAGCAGTAACTGTAATTTCCATGGGACTTGAAGGAAAATGAGGGGTGAATAAATAATAGTAATAATGTGGACTCTTTACTGAATGGAGCAAGATGGGAGACAGGATCTCCTGAAAGCAAAAACCCGGCGAACACTCCAACAGAACAGCATCCAGCTGTACATCAGCAATATCTCCCCATGAATTTAACAAACATGAATGGGAAATATTCCTAATGTGCGGTTGGGTTCTGTGCTCTCAGTGTTTTCACAATTTTTGCTCTCAGGAGATCTGGGTTCACAAGATGAAGGGCCCCAAGATAGTTACAGTGAAGTTGCACCTAGCTTCCTAGCCCAGATTTTATTAAAACTATTTGCTACATCTGGGTCTACACTCTGCTTCAATAGTTTTCAAATGCATGACAGCTGAGTGAGATCCATGCAACAATGCATGCAGCAGATCCCGGGGATTCAGACCCCAATAAATAAAATATGGAGAATACACAAAGCCATTATCATTGTAATATACTGATAACATTTTTATACTGATGTGACATCTATGAGCAATGATAAGATCATGCCACCATGTCATTCAACAGCTGATGTCATGAATTACACAACAAAGTCACCAAACAGACAAAGTGGGAAATGGGGAAAGGTATATCCTCTGTCTATGATGTCTTTATCACTTTCATTAGATACAAAGTAGGAAATGGGGAAAAATAAAATTCTGGACTGATTTATGGTGGGGAGACAGCTTATTAGCCAACTCTTATCCTCGAATTAATAACCTCTCCCAAAACCAAGAAATCACTGTTGCAGCCTGTATCCAAAATTCCCCAACTGTCCCAAACTGGAACCTAAGTCTTAGAAGACCATTAAGGGAGGTAGAAATAGCTGAACTAGCAGATCTGCTGCAAAATGTAAGAGAGGCATAACTGTCCCTTTCAAATCTAGACCATAGAATATGGAAAATTCATCCAGCCAGAAAATTCTCAACCAAAACCTTTTTCAGGTCCTTAACTTGGAATGCCAGCAATTCTAGATTTCCTTCTAGAAGGATTTGGCTCCTCCACATTCCTTCTAAGGTGTCCTTATGGGAGGCTTGTTTGAAAAAAATAAATACTTGTGACTTACTACAGAGGAAGAACAAAGGTAGATTGTGCATTCCCCCCCATATTTGTATGATGTGCTTTAACAACGGTGAGACTGCTGAGCACCTTTTCCTTCACTGCTCGGAAACAAGGAAAATTTGGTATTTCTTCTTAAACATGGTAGGATATTACTGGGTTTTTCCTGAACACATTGAAGATTTCCCATGGCAATGGCAAGGAAAAGGACTTGGAAAGAGAGGAAAAGTTTTTTGGCTCACTGTGGTACAAGCGGTGTTTTCGGGGGTGTGGGAGGAGAGAAACAATTGAATATTCAACAACAAGACTAGAGCTATGGGTGAGCCGGTATCCCACATACTTCATTTATGCAACTCATGGGTGATGAATTCAGAGATATTTGAGAGGTATTTCTTTAAATGATCTCCAGAGAAAAACTGTGGAGATCCTTTTTTCTTCTCCTTCCTCTCTAAAAGCAACAAAAAAACCCCACCCATGTTTGATAGAGGAGGTAACACTGAACTTTGATGGAAGTTCCCTTGGGAATCCTGGTCTAGCAGGGATTGGTGGTGTTTTTAAGGGAAGGAATGGAAATCTTCTGTGGACGTTCAGTGGCCCAATAGGGTTTGCTGATTCTACAAAGACTGAATTTTAGCACTGTTAACAGGACTTCAGATTGTGAGAGACTTTGGAATATCATCCCTAATCAATAAAGGGGATTCGAGCAATACCATCAGATGGCTGGGGGAGAAAAATGGAGGACCTTGGAGGCTGGCTCATTACTTGGATGAGGCTCGAGATATATCTGAATGCATTCCTGCTCTGGATTCCCAGAGAGTTAAATTCTGTAGCAGACAGCCTGGCCAAAGCAGGATCTCTAGGGATTTCTTATATAGCGATAGAGTTATGTCTATGAAATGTTTAAGTGTGATTTAGTGCCTCCATTGTACATTCTCTCATGTACACTTCCTCTTTTAACAAAATCTGTTACCTTTTAGCTCAAAAAAAAAAGTCATCAAACAGACAATAGTATTACCACAACATTATGTGAAAGTGGCAGCACATGATTATACCTCTCATACTGAAGAGCACTATGAAATTCTATATTACGATAACTAATCTTATGAAAATAAATAAATAAATTGACTTAGGGATCCACCAGACCCTTTCATGAAATGGTTTGACCAAGGACTTCTTGCTTTAAAGATCCAGACTAACCAGATAATCTAAATTTACCTTTTAAAATATTATCTGCCTAATTGATTGGGAAGTATGATAATACACATTCCAAATGCACCAATCAATTGGATGGCCATGCATATGGGTCATGTGGAAGTGAGAAACTAAGGACATTTAGACAAGCACGGAATTTGCAGTAGAATACAAACTAAATATACATAAAGACACAAATTGATGTAAAAGATATTTAGAAATATAAATAACCAAGAGTAAGAAAAATAATCATACTTTGTCTCTCCACAGAACCTTTCAATTCTGTTTGATATTCTTCCAGTTCTTCAAGTTCTCTCTTGGAAACCTGGAGATGCTGATTAACCTCTTCTTTGAACTTCTCATATATGAGCTTAAGCCCTTCTTTTTGTGCTGCATTAAATTTCATTCAGTCAAGCACAGATACAGGAAAAAAGTTAAATGAAGTCTTCATCATATTGACCACAAGACATTACAGATGACCATAATGCCTTCAATGCAGATGAGTAAATGGAACTACTTTAAGAATACTATCTTACCAAAACCCTGGGGGCTTCCAATATTCCAAGGGGCATTAAATCAATGAAATAGAGGAGATGAGGCATGTTTAGTCAACTATGCAAGTGTTTTTGTCAATTCAATAAGATAAGGCATTTCAAGAAAGCTGATACCTTGGCATCTTGACTCCAGATGTTTCCTCTTAGAGTTACCAGCATTTGTTAACTTTCCTCTGGGAAAGAAAAAGGAGAAAAAGAAATTAAGGACAGCCCCCCAACTAGCCATTTCTTCAAATGGTAAAATAGTGATCTTATGACACCTACAAGTCTGACTTAATCTGAGACTCAACATTTTGTAGCTGCACCCAAATTTCTTCAGAAACAGATGCCAGGATCTCAGAGCTTTTCTTGCTTGTCTGCAACTTCATTTTGGTTTTAAATCTTTCCAAAGCCAATGCAAATAAAGTAACAGCCCTGATACATGGTAGTAGGACAAATTGTATATTTATCAAATTAAAATAGTATATTCCAGTAAAAAATTCTGCAGATTAATGGATGTATAGGACAGAAAAGATTGGTTTAGAAGAAAACCCCGCTAAACCATCTCCATGGTTTTCATCTGAAAAACCCTGGCCAAGAATCCTCTTTTCAAAACCTGGAAATTATGTGGAAAGTAAGAGAATATGTTAGTTTAGGGGGAAATGAAAATAAAGATCAACAAAAGTAAAAGAAGTGACAAAGTAGTAATGTGCATAAGAAAAATAATACAGATATAGAGTAGATGATGCTAAGAAAGCAGTTATTTGCCTTTCAAGGATGCCGAGGTAGGGCTGATTTTGCTAATTCTAAAGCTTCCTTGGGTGCGAAGCCTTTTAGTTGGGTTAGGCAAGAATTCTGGTGTCTTGGAAACTTTAGATTTTGTAGATCGTGTCTCTCTTTCCCTGTAACCTGCATGTGACCACAAAATCAACACAAGGATGCCATTCCTACTTTAGATTCTGAAGGTAATTGCAGCATAAATACTGGCAAATAAAAACTAGGATTGAAGGGCAGTAACTAATGGCTGGGAAAAAATTGTGATACAATGGATCTTTAGTACTATGCTTGTACAGACACAATTCAACCAATTGCAGTAAACTGTTCATTGTGAATTAATGAGCAGCAAGTATAATGTGCTTTGTGTAATAAGGGCATCCAGATAGATACAAATGTTTGTAATGGACCTGCATTGTTGCTGTTTCTGAAATAGTGATTACAAAGGATGGAAAAGTTGTCTCATTTATTAATATGGAGTACAAAATAGATTTCTTTCTATTAGCCAAGTATCCACATAAAAGGAATCAACAATCACTGATTTCCAGTCCATCAGGAAAGAATACAGCTATTCTTTTAGGATGAAAAATTAGATAGGCAATTAAGTTAAATATTTGTGCTAGAACATTCTTGTAAGACTCCATTGCTTTATGATAAATTGATAATAAATTAAGGACAACTAAACCAAAAACCTACATTTGTAGTGCAACTTAAATCTATATCCCTTTTAGTGGAGTTGAGGTCAATTCTCATTGTAAACAGTAATTGGACCTATGTATATATATTTATGCATGTGAATTGGGTTTTATGAATGTTTAAAAATGGACGGTTTGTAAACCTTTATTTTTGAGCAAAGCTTTATCAATGCTCTCACTATACTGCTCTTCAGACGATAATTGAGATTGCCTATTTTTTGCATCATGCTCTTCCATAGTAGGCGATAATTCCCCAGTAGGTGACTTGTTATGCTCTTTGTCATCACCCTGAAAGATTAATAAGGAAAGGTAAGGGGGAAAAAAAAGAAAATATATAACCCAACAACTAACCATAAAGCATATCCTGTAATAGTCAGTGTAAAATCTACAAACATTGCTAGGATACAATGGATTTTGCTTGCTCATTGAATTGAAATGGACCAGGATTTGGGGTCAACAAAGTCCTCAGGCTACAAAACCCTCGTACCATAAAATTTCTATCAGCGGTTGCAGGTCTCAAAACACCCCACTCTGTTGGAGTAGTGCTTGGTAATAGAGGGCTTGAAGAACAAGTTTGGTTGGGCGTTCCCATCCTGCATCTTGGACTCTGGAAATCATTCTGTTGGTCATTCTTCTCTAAGGAAGGATTCCCAAAATCTTCTAGAGGGATGGCACTCTTTAGTAATGGTGAACTTTTAAAATATGATTGTTGCTCACTCCCCTTCCTTAGAGAAAAGTGGTGGAAATCTGCTCCTGAAATTTTACTCTTATGTTGCACATAGTCTCTGCTACTCTGAGGAGGGTGAACATGAAAATTTTCTGTCCTGTTTTCATGTGATTCTGTTCTCTCACTCTGATCCCTTTCCTCCCTTACAAGAAAATGGTGGAAATCTTCTTCTGCAGTTCTGCTCTTTGGTTGCATACCTTCTCTGTCATTCTGAGGGAAACCACAAAAATCTCCCATGCCATTATTGCGTGACTCTGTTCTTTCAACTGAGACTGGTATTTTCCTCCTAGTAGTGGGTTGCTGAATCTTATTTGGGATATCTTTTTTAGAGAAATGACTCCTTTGCTGCTTAACTTTACTATTCTCTTTCCTAATATTCTTGTTATTAGGCATATAAGAGCTGTCACTGGCAGTAGTAGTCCCATGTAGGCTCCCTGACCATCCAACAGAATTTCCATTTTCTTTGTCTGCTTCATCAAAATTAAAAATACTGTTCTCTTGATGTTTCTTACTATGGCTTGGGGAAGGTGGCAAATTTCCAGCATATAAAATCTTATTCTGCAAATTCAGCTGTGCTCTGCTTGGAGCCTTCTTTTTACTTAAAGAACGGGTCATGGGTCTCTTGATGGTTTGATCAGGACTTTCACTATCAGGTTCTATTGTATCTGAGTTCTGTTTAGGCTTGAGAACTGCATTGTTCTTTTGATTCAAATGTCTAACTGGTTTAAGATTCACCCCTGGTGTATTTAGGCTCTGTTTAGGCTTCACAATTTTACAGGCCTTTGGGTCCAAATGTCCCACTGGGCTCAAATTCTTCTCTGTTGTATCCAAGTTCTCTTTATTATTATTTTGTTTCAAATCTTCTACTGGCTTCAAAATCTTTGTACCAGCCACAAGAGTCTGTGAATTTGAATGATGGTCATCAGACAAAGCAAAAGCTCCTAATATCTCAGAAAGTTTCATTCTCAGAATGTCACTGCTTCTATTTGCTGTTTTATTTGATTTTTCTTCTCCTTCTCCATTTAGCACATGAATTTCCTGTGCAGTTACAAAAGCAAAATCTTCCACCCATTCTGTGGTTCCTTTTGCCCTTCCATAAGTGACACCATTAGTTGACTGAAAAGCATTGCTCTGGTTTGGAAAAAACTGAACTGTTTTTGTTGTTATCTTCTCTTTTGCTCCTTCAACTTCTTTCTGCATGACACTGGAAGGCTGTATTACAGAAGTTTGATTAGCATAAAGGTTATCTGTTACTGTAGCTGGTGTTTCTTCATGCAAGTGTCTGGTAGAAACCCATGGAGAATTCTCTTGCTCAGGAATATTTGCTTGCTTTCCTTTCAAGACAGCTACTACTCCTGGATCCTTGTTTTTATCTTCTGAGCATTTCCCTCCAGAAGAAGCTACTTTTCCTGTATTTTGCAATGCAGCAGCATCCTCCTTTCTATTCGCAGGTTTCCTTTTAGCAGAGGCATCTACTGTAATTCCGATGGAGACCTTCCTGGTTTGACTACCAACATTATAATTGCTGCCAAAACTCCAATAGCTGCTCGTTGGATCCTAGAGTACATTATTGTGCATCAGATATTTAATACCCTCCGAATTTGGACAAGATAAAAGTCCATTAGAATACAACCAATTTTTCATCAGTTTGGGGGAATTCAAGATTACATAGAGACCAAGGATCAACTAAATTACCAATAAATTTACAAGCAATTAAGAATATTTATCTTTCCAAAGACAATAGAATAATGCCCAAATTACCAATAAATTCACTAAAGTTACTTTAATAAAAAAATTATATAATAAATGATATGCGCACACACATAGAGATAAAGAGAAGATATTAGATCAAGATAGCTTAGGGTATTCACAATTACATTAAAAATTCTTCCTATCTGGACTGGGAACTTAAAATTGTGACAGTTACTGCTTACATCTCGCAGTTTTTTCTGTTGTTGAAGCTCCATATATCTAGTTTGTGTTATATCAGTAACCAGCTAGAACCTGAAAATTAGGCAAAACTTTAAGTTGAGGAAACAAAACTGAAGCTATCCATGGAATTAGATAATCATAAGAAGAAATAGAGTTATAAACGCAAATAATATTCACCAAAGGGGATAACATGACTTTAGTAGTTCTTTTTAAGGAAAAAAAATATCCTCAAATACTCTGAAACAAATACAAACGGAGAAACACAGACGCACTAAAGTTACTTTAATAAAAAATATATATATAATAAATGATATGCGCACACACATAGAGATAAAGAGAAGATATTAGATCAAGATAGCTTAGGGTATTCACAATTANTTACTGCTTACATCTCGCAGTTTTTTCTGTTGTTGAAGCTCCATATATCTAGTTTGTGTTACATCAGTAACCCACTAGAACCTGAAAATTAGGCAAAACTTTAAGTTGAGGAAACAAAACTGAAGCTATCCATGGAATTAGATAATCATAAGAAGAAATAGAATTATAAACGCAAATAATATTCACCAAAGGGGATAACATGACTTTAGTAGTTCTTTTTAAGGAAAAGAATATCCTCAAATACTCTGAAACAAATACAAACGGAGAAACACAGACAGATCTTTTCTTCCAACTACAAATTTCCATATTTTGTCTGTTCTCCCTGACTATATATCCTCGTCATCAAATCTTCACCAGATTTCCAGGGTTTCTCGATTGATTCTTGACTACACGTTAAAGCCTCCGAATAAAAAATAACCAGAATAATAAAAATGAAAATAAGTAAATAGAGCAAGCGCATCATGATAGAAAAAATTCTTACAACTTCATTTGACATCTGATCGAAGATTTCTGTTACCTCGATTTTGGACAAATCTCGGACTAATCCTTCACAAAATGTACTAATCATCCAACGCTGCAAACAGTTCAAGGATTCGTCAATGATCAGTCACCACGCACTAATGTTCACCAGAGTAAGCTCAAATAATCACAACATAAGCGTAAAAAGTTAAGTAAAACGAAATTAAACAAAAACAGTTCCACATAAAGCAAACCCAAATCGCGTGAAGATTCTGACAAGCAGCTTACGAGATATGTTTCCGTGGACCATCGACGAGACCCTGCGCTGCAACTACGATCATAATCTTTCGAAAATGGCTCGCAAAACGATGGTTGTTTCTTTAGGACTCCAAAGAGGAGAAGGGACTAGACAATACAGAGAGTTTTGAGAAGGGACTAGACAATACAGAGAGTTTTAAGAGAAATATAGGAAAAAAGGAATGGGCGGGAAATTGTGATGCAAGAGTGTAAGAGCAACCGTCATGATAACTCTAACATAACTGCAGTGCGTAATGCGCTACTTCGCTTAATAGTCGTCTTCGTTTAAGCCTCAAGGTACGAGATTTATTTAGACGTTCAGTGTGATGACACGAAGGGATTAAAACTTTAAAAGGAATGTAATCATTGTTCCAAGAGAAAAGAAATTATCAGAAATTATTGTTAATTTAGTGAGTTTATGGATTCATAGTTTAGTTTACTTTACTATAATTAATAATAAAATTTTAATTCATGGTCAATTAAAAAACTTAATGTTGATTAGCAATTAATTTAATTCTGATAAATTTAGGTTTATGATTAAAAATGTTTAATCCCTTTTGCAATAGCATCGCAAAGACGAGCCCAGAGTGAGTAGGAAAAGTGAATAGGAAATCCGAGTGCGCAAAAACAATTGCAATAGCATCGCAAAGAGACAAAGCAGCAGCACCCCCTCTCTCTCTCTCCTAGTATCATCTCAAAATAAGCACCAATGTATTAAAAACCAACCTGAAAGCTGAACCATTGTTGCCTCCTCCTAATATCTCTCCATATGATCTTCCAATAATCTCTCTAAAACCTGCTTTGATTGATCAACCAGATCCTGCCTTGAATAATCATCCCATGATCACAAGAAGGAAAGCATGACAGTTTCAAAATGACTCATCATTTCCAGCTAGTCCAACTCCACCCGAGAGCCTAAGACGGTGAAGGCAACTTTGAAACATGATGGGTGCATGGGTTCAATAATCCATCAAAAAAAGAATTACAAGCCTTAAATGATAACTCGACTTGGGAGCTAGTTCCACGAACAGAGGACATGAATATTAATGTACGATGTTAATCCAAGTGCAAGACTGATGAAACACTATAGCTGTTAAAAGGCACGTCTTATATACATATAGCCAAAGGGTATAATTAGATCTATATATAGAATGGACTTTGAAAAAACCTTTAGCCTAATTGTGAAGCCCTAAACTATATCTATACAATTAGTTTGTACTTTGTAAGCCAAATTAACCAGGCTCTCTTTCGGCTCAAACGGGATTATTTTGATCAATTCAATAAGCCAAATTAACTAGTATCCCACTACGACACAATCGGACTTTATTTATGCATCCAATCTGGTGTGTCATTGTATGCAAGTCCCCAATTAGAGGTGTAAATTGAATCGTGCTGTCCACAGCCCGGCATGACCCAGCTTGAATTTGGATCGACCTAGCACCGCACAACACGTGGGTCATGCCAGGCCCGGTATGATGGTCCAGGCCATGTTGGGCCTGGGGTTCCAGGTCCACGAGCCGATTCTACCCGTGTCGTGCCACCCGCGGCCCACATGCAGGCATGTTATAGCCCGCGGGCTTGTAGCAGATCATGCTCTGCCCGCCCAATGAATAAGCTTTTGGGGGGGTTTACCGAAATACCCCCCCCCCCCAACAGGTATAAACAACTATATAGGGGGTATTTATGTATTTTGGTTTTGGAGAGAGAAAGAATGACACAAATGCCTCCCCCAACAGTCATATAATAATTAGCTTGGGGGCATTTTGGGTAAAGTGATAAATAATTTTACAATGACCAAAATACCCCTCCCAACAACTAAAAAATGGCTAGTTTTTAGGGTATCTTGAGCAATTGAATTATTTTCAATTCCTATAAATAGCCCTATCCTCCACCATTCTCATCACACCAATTCAACAATTCTCTTAATCTTTTCTCTAGTTCTCATACTCTCTTAAGTCTCAATCTCATATACATTCTCTTATTCTCCAATTCTCAACTTTATTGAAGTTTCAACAAGAAGAAGGCTTGCTTAATAGCTCAAGTATTTCAAGTTAGCAATTTGGGAAGCTAGGACTCTTGGAGTTAAAATGCTTCAACTATTGAAATCAAGTCGGGATTCCGAATTGGCAATCTAGGTAAGTGCAATTAAATTAATATTTTTTTTTAGAATTTAAAAAAAAATGGTCGGCTCCTCCTGAAACCAATTCTCCAACATGTTCAATGTCGACAATATTCAATCGCAGCATGGTAATGTTAGCACCGATATAGAGGCTATTGATATTGATGGAACATCCACCCCTAGTTATTGGTACTAGAGGAAAGAAAAGGAATGCCACTAAGTTGATTAGCCTAGTTTGGAAAATATTTAAAGTATAAGAGGTTCAGGGGAAGGGAAAAAGAGTTATTTGCCAAAATTGTAGAAAAGACTTTAGTTATTGTAGCAATGGTGGTACTAGCCATTTGGGAAGACATTTGCTCACCAATGAGAAAGAAAAGAAGAAGAAGGGAGAGAAACAACACAAACACAAATTGGATGGGGGGCTTAGGTAATTTTAAATATTCTCAAGAAAAAATGAAGCTTGAATTAGCAAAATACATTATACATGCTGAACAACCATTCTTGTTAGCTGAAGATACTAAACTTGAGAAATGGTTATGTGATTTTGTAAATCCACAATTTAAAAAAGTTTGTAGGAATACTATTAGATCAGATGCTTTAAAAATTTTTTATTCATATAAACAAAATTTTATTTATATGTTATCAATACTTAATTCTAAAGTTGCAATTACTTTTGATATTTGGATTTCTAAATTTAACATAAGTTATATTTGTGTTACTAATCATTTTATTTATGAAAATTGGCTTTTAAATAAAAAGAATTTTAAGTTTTACTAGGATTAAATGCCCACATACTGGCCTAGCTGCAAATATTTTGAATACTTTACATGCTTATGGAATTGACAATAAATTATTTTCTATTAGTTTTGATAATGCTAGTAATAATGATTCAGAAATAAATATTTTAAAATCTCAATTGAAACCATGTTTAAATGGTAAATTATTTCATATCAGATGTGGATGTCACATCTTAAATTTATGTATTCAAGATGCTTTAAATATTATATCTACTTATATTTATAAAATTAGAAATTGTATTATATATATTAAAAGTTTTGGAGCAAGAAAAACAAGAATTTAAATATTTATGTCAAAATTATGATTTAAAATATAAATATTTTATATTGGATGTTAAATATAGATGAAATTATACCTATGCTATGTTAGAAAGTTGTATTTCTCACAAACAAATTCTTAGTGATTTTTATAATGCAAAAATTCCTATTAATATTATATTTAAGGAAGACTTGGAAATGGAAATTTGTATAAGAGATTTTTAAAAACATTTTTATGATGCAACTAATGAATTATCAAGTATTTATTATACAACTAATTGTAATTTAGCTTATCAATTAATGATGATTAGTTATTGTTTTGCAAAATATAGAAAGAATCCAAAATGTAAAAGTATTATTGAAATAATGGAAAATAAACTTAAAAAATATTGGGAGAATATTTCTCCTCTTTATTGCTTAGTTACAATATTAGATCCTAGGATTAGGAAAGATGGTTTAGATATTTTACTTGAAACATATTGTTAAAATATGAATAATGAAATTGGAAATAAGAAAGAAGAAATTAATAGTTTATTATTTGAAATGTATAATTCATATGAACTTGAAGTAACGGGGAATAATAAAAATTCTACAACTTGTATAATTGCATCTTCTACTTTTGAACTTGAGTCCAGTAGTGGAAGAGAAAAAACTTTTTATTTAATAAGAGGCAAAAAGCCATTACCTTGACAACAAGTTCATTTACTAGACTTAATTTTTATTTACAAACAATTTTTTCTACTTTAGGTGGTGATTCTTCCTTCACCTCAGAGGGAACAAATAATTTTGATATTTTAGCCTGGTGGAGTGAACATGCAAAAAATTATCCAATTCTCACCGCCATGGCACGTGATCTACTAACCCCTTCAATGTCTACAATTTCATTGGTGTTTTGTTTTAGTACTAGGGTGTTGAACAATAAGAGAAGTTGTATGAATGATGAAAGTTTAAATATGTGCATTTGATTTAAAGATATGTTACAAGACAAAGGAGGGCATGACATTACACCAGATGTTTCACCTAAAGTAGATGATTAAAGTAAAGAACAATAGAAAAAATGATGAAGTTAATATTTTTTGTATACTCAATATTGTATAGCATTTTTTCAAATTATTGTAAATTTTGTTTTAATTTGATATTTTTTAATAACGTAATTTTTTAATTTCAATTTATAACTATATTGTGTTTTTTGTATTTTATTAATTTATTCCATTTTCCAATTTTCATATTTCATTCATCCAACCATTGTATGCTTTATATCATTCAAATTTAAATGAAATAAAATTCCTATTTTTCTTCCAATTTGTTATTCACTTTGAATTTTTGTCTCTTTGACTTCTTATTTAATTAAGCAATGTTTTCATTTTTTTATTATATTTTTTATTTTTTATATAGTTCCCAAAAGAAAGTTAAAGATTTTAGTTTTACTTAATAAAAAATAAAATATCAAAAAAACAAAAAAAAAACAATCCAACCCGACTCAGCCCACATCCAAGGCCCAACCTGTGCCCAACCCAACATGGCCTGCAGCCCACCCAACCCAAACCTGTGGCACAACACAGGCCCACACGGGCTTAAGCCATGGGCCATGCTTGGCCAACCCCTCAAATTATCCTTCAGGAGGGTGGCATGGCCAAAGATGGGCCATGGTTCAGCCCACCCCCAAATTATTCAGCTTGTGAGGAGAATACTACGTGTCTGCGTTATATAAAAGGAACTATTGACCTTGGTGTTCCTCTCACACGTTAAAATTCCCATTAACTCTCTGATGTAGAAATAAGAAAAAGTTACACAAGGCGAAGGGTAGCTCGGCCCCAAAACAAACATTCCGTTGCTCCAACTCTCTGTTTTTTTAAATTCTGATTATTGGGCGTGATGTCCCCCTCACTTCGCCACTCTACTATTGTCTTAGTCTCCGAGTCGAACCTCATACTTGCTAAGAAGAAAACAACCATAGCACGCTCTAACGCAAAAGTAGAATGCAGCAAGGTTTTCAAAAAGGACCGGACCAGAAAATCGGAAACCGTTCAGGTCTCCGGTTCCAGTTATATGGTAGACCGCTAACATCCAAAAACCCATTAAAAAGGACAGGAAACTGATGA